GCAGGCTCGAAATTGATTTTAGAGCTATGGTCTAAAGGGCTTTTTTTCTTAGAGTTTTATGTAGAATCCGAATCTGCTAGGAACGATGTCGAAAAAAAAATTTACCCGCCCTAATGTATATCCATACATGAGCAAGCATGCCATACGGAGGAATACCGCGCGGTACCATACCGCTGCTGCTTGAGGAAGCCTTTATAATGAAAGCAGCTCCTAAGTATAAAGATTTTATTTTGTTTCTTTAAATAGAAAAAATCTTTAAATGTAAAGTCTATCTTTAACTGAAGCATTTTCACCTAAGCAAAGGGCCCGTTGCTCAATGTATGGTTATCACCAGTACATCATTATCGACGATTTCGACATCATGCATATAACATGTGATCGATAAAGTAGTTGTTGTAATTAACCGGAGCTTCTACCTCCGATTTTTGTTAATCAGACATTGAACAACGGGCCCTAAGCCTTTTGACCACTTCGGTATGTTAATTATAGACAATTATTTTCCGTTTACCTTTACATGACTATGCAGCATTATCCACATCGCCTTAACAGTATTCAGAAGAAACACATCGTACTCAGGGCTGCCAACTTGGCTCAAACCGTGCCATTTTTGGCCGTATTTTACTTCAAATGGCGCTTAATTTTTCAATTTGGCATATCTGCCAAATTGGCACTTTCGAAAAATAGTAATATTTCAATACATTTTTGGGAAATCCTTTGCGTGTATGTACTTCTTTTTGTCAACTAAAATTTTCTAATTTCTATTGTGTATACAACTGGTTTATCTTACATTGCATTGGACTTTTGTTTTGGGAATGTGTTTGTAATTTTAATGCGAAATGAGAAGAACTAAAAAGAATGACAGCTTTTTTGGCATTTTTATTTTTCTATTCGGCACATTTTGGCACTGTTTCATCCTCAATATGGCACTTCATAGATAAGTGTAGTTGGCAACCCTGATCGTACTAACTGAAATATTTTCGCCTGCGCGATATTAGAAGTACCTTGGTATGTACACTTTTGTGAATTATGCGTGGCTTTTATTGTATCTCTGTATTTCCATAACTCCCTGTGTGAGGAAATATGTAATGTAAATAAAGTAATTCTTAACAGAAGTGCTTCAAACTTAACAGTTTGGCAATTTAAACACTGTTGAAGTTGATTTCTGGAATTTCTCTTACTAGCGCCTGCAACTATACTTCTTATTTACTACCGCCGGCAGCTTTAACAATTTTATCGTGGTTTTACGTTCTTTGGTAAATTACGCTCTGTTAGCCATAAATTTTATTATGTTTTGACCGTTTTTGTATCAAGACCACTGGACCATATACATGGGCGTCGCCAGGATCGAATTTAGTGGGGGCCCGTAATATAAAAAAATCCCAAAATTTTCATCTTTACACATTCATGTTTCTGGCATGCGGGAGACGATATGTACTTGCCAATTTGTTTTACAAAAATTATTTAAAAAGCAGATGTCTCGGTTGCTCAGCAAACCGGTTAATCGTTTCTGCAATTATTTCACATTGATTCTCTAAAACAAATTTTCGCTGTATTCTTAAAATGCATAAACCTAAAGGTAAATTTTATAGGAAATTAAACTAACAATTTATTAAAACTAGTAGTAACCTCGAAATACGGGCGAGTGCTTAGCTCAACATTTATTTAAAGAACTTCGTGAAAGACAACAGTGGGCCATGAGAAAACCGTCATCTTTAAGGTATAGTCCAACCTTTCACAATATCTGGTATTAGTCTTAATCTGAAACGCAATAATCATTGAAAATTGGCGCCCTTTATGGTGAAAAGCATTTAATATCAC